TATCTATCTATCTATCTATCTATCTATCTATCTATCTATCTATCTATCTATCTATCTATCAAATTTGTCACCGCACGTCTCATTGAAACAACTCTGGGCAGTTTACAAAGCAGTTAAAATCAAGTAAAATTACAATATAAAATAATCTTAATAAATAGAAAACAAATAGATCCAAGGATAGATATAAAAATGAAAGTCACTCAGGGAGCGTCATCAAGGTGCCAGCTGCCCCCAGGATTGGGTAAGATTCTTGTCACCCCATGCAAGCTAGCAGTGCCAGGTCTTTAATCCTTTCTGGAAAATCAGGAGAGTAGGGGCCTGCTGCACCTCTGGGGAGAGAATATTCCAAAGGGTGGGGGCAACAGCAAAGAAGGCTCTTCTCCTGGGTCCTGCCAGCCAACATTCTCTTGCTCACAGAGTCCACAACATACCCTCTCTGCCTAACCGGGTGGGACAGGTTGATGTGATGGGGGTGAGACAGTCCCTCAGGTAACCTGGACCCATGCCATGTAGGGCTTTAAAGGTAATAACCAACACTTTGAACTGAACCCGGAAGCAAACTGGCACCCAGTGCAGCTCCTGCAGTAAAGGTGTTATATGTTCTTGGGGCACCCAAGATTGTTCGCATGGCCACATTTTGAACCAGCTGTTGTTTCTGGATACTCTTCAAAGGTAGCCCCATGTAGAGGGCATTGCAATAGTCTAGCCAAGAGATTACCAGAGTGTGAGTGACTGACTGGAGAGCCTACTGATCCAGGAAAGGGCATAACTGGCATACCACACAACATAAAAGGTCAAGACTTGCACTCCATTGTTCCCAAATGCAGGACGCAAAATCACTGAGTTTCCTTAAAGGCAGATTCCAATTGAATGTAAGAAAAACAGCCTAAGGGTCAGAGCAGTTCAACGTAGAACCAAACATGGGTGGAAATTACGCTCTTCCCTTCAGTGTCTGTGCTCAAGGTGAAGCCAAACAGATATCTGTCATGGATGCTTTAATTTGGCTTCCTGCACTGAGTGGTAATTTGGATTAAGTGGCCTAAATGCCTTCCAACTCCAACCGTTATATGGCCTATTTTGTGATTCTACTAGTTCCCGCTCTTCTTTTGTGTATTGCTTCAGAGTAAATATATAACTGAAGACCTGTTTCTTAAATAACCAAAGAAACAATGAAGGTTTCTTAGAATTGATCCCATCTAGGTTTTGTTCTGTAAACACACACTTGCCAAGTTTCAGCACATATACACAATGCTTTGACAAAATGCCAAGAGATTTGTGCCGTGCCACTCTTACATCGATGTTTGGGTGCCGAATTTAATTTTGGCATCAATGCTTTATTGACCCACCCATCACACATACATACATAACTTCATTAGTTTTGCACTCCATATTTTTATTTATGCTGTTCTCAGTGTCTGTTCTCAGGGGCGCTTGAACTGAAAGCTCTTGAATGTATAAGAACAGGCATGATAAAAAGGTAGAAGCGGACTTGCTACATACAGATGTCGTCTTCTTCTTTGACCCCAATGAATTTGGAATTATCACAAACTAGACATTTGCCTTCCAGACAGAAGGGAATGTCTTCCTCTAAAATTTGTCCTGTCAGCTGAGGAGCAATTTGAAGGAAATTAACAAACTAGCCTTGAAATATTGCTGATGTCTTCTCTTCAAACTCAGAAGGAAAACTCAGCTTTTGGGTGGAACAGATTGTTTAAGTCCCCCCACCCAGGAAGTCATGTAAGACCCCATACATGGAAGCATGACATAATGTAAGATCCTATCTCTCTCCTCCGAGAGCTTAAGGGAAGGTGGACTGTATATTAGATATATTCTCTTTATTTCTTCCTGCAACCACTGAACACCAGGAACAATCCCTTGGTGGCACTTCCTTCACACATCTAATTTGTCAGAAATCTGATCTGCTCTAATTTCAGGTTGCAGGATTTGTTGGGTTGTAGGATATTTGGACACACTTGCTGACTTTTCTCCCCACATTGGTTTTAAATGCTGCCATTAAGTATGATTTTACATAGCATGAGATACAAATGATTCAATTATATAATTTTTAAGAATATTTGTTAGATTTGGATTTGTTAGATGTGTAGCCTGGCTTTTCTCCAGAAGCTTAAGGCAGCTTTTCAAAAGGATCTCTGTTCATTTTATCACGGGGAATGGTTGGGGTGAAAGACACTGACTGGCCAAACTTGGTGCTTCTCATTGTAAACATTGTAGGAGGAGAGCCATGTTAGTCTATAGCAACCAAAATTCAGAAGGCGTCTGGAAGCACCTTTTTTGACTAGCACATTTTATTAAAAGGCATACACTTTTGTGATTTTAATGAAATTTGTTAGTTGGAAAAGGCGCTACCAGACTCCAGACTACCAGATTTTTGAATAACTGAAAGTCATCCATGAGCTTCCATGGTTAAGAATAAACTTGAACCTCATCTCCTCAATTCTAGTCCATTACGTGAATCACGACACTACATATTTTGGACTGGTGATGATTCCTGGTTATACTCTTTTTTTTATTTTTTGGTTTAATTGACATTTACAGGTTTTGCTAATAACATTGGCTGAGTCCATCAAAAACACTTAAGCCATCATACAATTGGTTTGGTTTGGGCTTTTTAGCCATTCTGTTTTGTGGCTTATGATTTATGGCTTAGTATGTGAACCCAATCAATTGTGATTTAATCAGTAAACACCAGATCAGCAAATCATGGAAGTGCAATTTGTGAATCCAGTCATATTTTATTTTGTATTATAATTGTTCAGTTTTCTTATCATGGTTAAGTTACCAAGTTTCGTGGGCCATTTTGGATACTTTGGGGAGAAGTGATGACATGTATCATTGCATCTCCAGTGATGTAGTTCAGAAATTATAATGCAGTGTGAGTGCAATGCCCTTTACTTTTTTTGACCAGTTTGAGGGAGGTGGCTTGCAATTATATACTGTAAAAGCAGCCAAACCCCACTTAATGCCCTTAGGATTACATCTCTCAGGACCTTCCAATCTTTAGA